AAAAAAAAAAAAAGTACAATTCGGTGGTTTCTAGTATATACAGTGTATTTTTTTCTATCAAGAACCATTCATTACATAAACTCTCACAGTACAGGTATATTTCAGAGATATTGCAGGTTCATTCCAGACCATCGCAATACAGCAAATATCACAATAAAGTGAGTCACATGCATTTTTTGGTTTCTCAGTGCATATAAAAGTTATGTTTACACTATACTGTAGTCTATTAAAGTGTGCAATAACAATGTCTAAAAACAATATACATACCTTAATTAAAAATATTGCTAAAAAATGCTAACATCACCTGCTAATGCAGGGTTGTCATAAACCTTCTGTTTGTAAAAAAGACGGTATCCGGGAAATGCAGTAAAACAAGGTATGCCTGTGTATCTACACATATCTGTGTTACACACACACACACACACACACACACACACACACACACACACACACACTGAATGGACATTACCATATTAGAATTTGATAACAGATACGACATCCCGTAAATTTTGTTTTCTTTTTTCTCCGGCCGCACTGTGCGGCATGTGGGATCTTAGTTCCCCAACCAGGGATCGAACCCACACCCCCTGCAGCGGAGGGTTAACCACTGGAAGTGCACAGTCTTAACCACTGGACTGCCAGGAAGTCCCCTAGTGTAATTTTTTTTAAAGGTAAAAATTCTGTGGTTCCAGTGTATCTAGTCCCACCGCTACAGACCGTGTCCCCTCCAATATTGAAAAGGAAGGGCTGGAGAGCTGCCGCCTTTTGGACCCTCACACCCACCGAGATTCTCAAGTGGCTCATCGCTACTACTCTATACTTACCAAGTGAGAGCCCAAGGAAGGACCTTCATACCAAAACTTCTTCCTATGGGGAGAAAATAAGAACTATGCTGGATACTGACGGCAAATCAAATAACAAACAGTTACAAAAGCTAACGTCGTAACTGTTTCTAAGGGGCTAGCCCTGGACATAGAAATTAGGTTACTAGGGGCCTAAAAGATTTAGATACCCAATGAACAGCAGCACGGGTTGTGGGGACAGACAGACAACAGTTTCAGTTCAAGCCCGTAACTTTTACCTAAAGTCTACCTCTAGTCCCAAAGGTAGAGAATGAGGACCTTAAAAACACACCTACCAAACTGCACATGAGCACTGTCCTCTACTGAACAAAGCTGTTTCCCAGGGGAGGGTTAAGGACTGATACCGCCACACATCAACTGGGACTGAACAGCTAAGTAAACAGAAGGCAGATGGGGGATCCAGGCCCCTCGCTATTGCAGACAAGCAAGGTAAGGAAGTGAGAATGATTCGTGTGCTAGTGGATTAAGGCTGGAGATCAGTACAAACTTAAGTTTCACTTACTACAGCTACAGGTGGTGACACACAGAAACGTTTGTAGATAAGCACAGACACAGGGATTAACATAAACACTATTTTTTTTTTGCTTTGCCAGCTGAAAGGGTCTAAAAGACAGACACCCCAGTAGCAATAAACATACTAAGCTCTCAGATCATGGTTTCTGACCCCTGTTTCCAATCAAGGAACCACAGCTCCTTGGAGAAATGGCTGATTCTAGGGCCGAGGCATCCTGTGGTGCCAGAAAGTAAGGAAGTGCTAAAAAAAAAAAAAAAAAAAAGTTTTCTAATTTAAAAACTACTTCAAAACCCCATAACAACGGGGTGTGTCAAAGGGATATAGGAGCCACCTGAAAGAGCTCGCAATGGTCAAAGCTGGAACAACTCGAGCAAAATTAAGTAGTACTGGATTATAACCCGTGAGTCCATCCTGCTGAGTTAATAAATGAAGAGACACACCTCCCCTGCAAAATTTTGAATAATTCATGAATTTCGAATAATTCCCCACTCCTTAGGTGTGAGCTGCATATGGTGACTTTCCCCCCAAAGAAGACAGTATGGAATTGGGGGGCCGGGCAGTAACTTTACAGTGGATAAACCTGACAGACACAGATGACCGCAGTCAATCAAGACCAGCATCAACAGTGATACACCATGTTGAGAGCATGTGTGTGTCCACAGGATGTGATGAAATGGCGCTTCACACCTGTGGTTTTTCTCCCCCAAACCAAACCCCAGTATCCTCAAGAGAAAAACATCACGCCAATCCCAACAAAAGGGCATCCTACAAAATATCTAACCGGTACTCTTCAAGCTGTCAAGGTCATCAAAACAGGGACAGTTAGAAACTGCCACAGTCAAGAGGAGCCTAAAAAGATGACGACTAAATGTAATGCGGTCCCTGGATGGGATACTGGAACAGAAAAAAGACGTTAGGGAAAAACTAAGGAAACGTGAATAAGACATGGCCTTTAGTTAATAATAATGTATCAATGCTGGTTCATCAATTGTAACAAATGTGCTGCACTAACATAAGAGGTTAATAGAAGGAAAACTGAGTGTGCTTACATGGGAACTCTACTCATCTTTGCCAATTTTTCTGTAAACCTTAAACTTTTAAAAAAGTGTATTAAAACAAAAACATACATATATACATATCTACAATTAAATGAAAATGATATGAAGTCAATATATTTTGTTATACTTATGTCTCGTCATAAAAAAACCTATCGTGACAAGCTTTCTTTATTCCTCAAATTAACCCCACAGAGAAAGCACTAATATGGAAAGGAAATTCTTCCTTCTCTCTTTACGTGATGCAACTACTCTCCCGAAAAACGCTTCTAGTAACAAGAATCATCATCCTTCAGTATCTGTGGGGAATTGGTTACAAGACCCCAAAGATACCAAAACTGGAGGATGCTCAACGCGCTGTATTTGCATATAACCTCCGCACACCCTCCCGGATACATTAACTCATCTCTAGGTTACTTAATGCTACGTAAAGAGTTGCCAGCAAGGCAACTTCAGGTTTTGTGTTTTAGAACTTTCTGGAGTTTTTTCGGAACATTTTCAATTCAAGGTTGGTTGAACCCGAGGATTGGGAACCTCGGACCCAGAGTGGACTGTAAATGTATACATCACTTTGCTTCATAAATTCATGACGCACTCTTAGCTTTTAGGAGACTTAGAACTTTACCGTCACAGCTGTGTGAAAGAACAGAAAAAAGGCTGGGTGGGAAAAACGTTAACTGTCAGAGGTGGGCTCCCTGGTGAGCTTTCAACAGCCATTAACCTAACAGGCAGCGGCTGCGCTTACTGACACGGCTGGGAGCTCTGGCGCCGGCCAATGCGTCGGCGGTGGAACCCCTGCGGAGCCCCCGCCCGCGGAGCCTCCCGCTCCACGGAGCTCCCCGCCCGCGGACGCCCCGCCCCGCCGAGCCTCCTGCCCACGGAGCCCCCCGCCCCGCCGAGCTTCCCGCCCGCGGAGCCCCCACCCCGCCGAGCCTCCCGCCCGCCGAGCCCCCCGCCCCGCCGAGCCTCCTGCCCGCGAAGCCCCCGCCCCGCCGAGCCTCCCGCCCGCGGAGCCCCCCGCCCCACCGAGCCACCGCCCCGCCGAGCCTCCCGCCCGCGGAGCCCCCCCCCCCGCCGAGCCTCCCGCCAGCGGACCCCCCGCCCCGCCGAGCCTCCCGCCCGCGGACCCCCCGCCCCGCCAAGCCTCCCACCCGCGAAGCCCCCATCCCGGGCCACCGTCCCCGGAGCCCCCGCCCCCACTGGGGTAACAGTACTTAGTTTTCGAAGCAAATTTCTTGAGTAGGTTCTTGCCGCAGAAGACAGGCGAGCTGTGCAGGCCTCGAGCGCCGCCCAGAAGGAGCCCCACGTGGAGACCCCCGGCCCCGCCGAGAGCCGCCCACATCTCAGCCGAGCGACGGCCTACCGCGTGACGCGAGGCGGGCTGAGGTTGGCAGTGAGACGTGGGGCGGGGAAACGCGGGGCGGAAAGACGTGCAAACGGAACGACGTGAGGCGGCTCGGGGCGACGTGGGGCGAGGCGACGTGCGAAGTCGCCGGGAGACTGTGGGCGGGACGAGAGGACGAGGCGGCATCTGGAGGACAGGTAGGCGGGACGTGAAGCGGCGGGGCGGAGCGACGTGCGGCTAGGGCCAGGGACAGGCGTGACGACGCGTGAGGGAGGGGTGGCTAGACACGGCGTGGGTGGGGTAGTAGGCGGGGCCGGGTGACGTGAAGGACGGGACGCCTGTGGGCGGGGCCAGACGACACGTGGTGGAGAGCGGGGCCTGATGACGTAACTGAGGAGCGGGGACGGGACGTGATGACGTTTGTGCGGGGGCAGGGCCAGCTGGCGCGTGGGCGGAACGAGTGGGCCACGCACTCGCCGTACTCCCACGGCGAGCTGGGTTCAGCCAGATGCCGCCGAGTGCAAGGGAGGTTGGGACTCTGTGGTGGGGAAGCGCACAAACCACCCGGATGCGGAGATTGCGGAGCGAGGAATACACTTTACGGAAACGCACGAAGCTAACAGAGTAGGGTGCATTTCAACTCCCTTGCCACAGAATATCGAATGAAGAGCAGGGAGGTAAGAGGTCTTAACTGGGTGGGCGTCCCGGAGCAGAGCTCCTTCTGCCTGCACCACTAGGAAGGACTGGAGTTTCTTCCTCTTTACGCTGCCAGTTCGTTTGCTCACTTCCTGTAATACCTCCTCACCAGTCTACGTGGAGAAAGACACAGCTTCCAAACTACTCCAGAAAGGAGGCATAGTCACCTCAGACCCCTCTTCATGGTCATCCCTGATAATTCCATACTGGGCATTGACAGTGGGGACTTTTTTTCCTATAGCAGCCCCAGCACTTAGAACAGGACTTGGCACATAGAAGGTGCTCAGTAATCCTTTTTTTTTTTTTATGATTGAAACAAAGGGATAGTGATTAGAGTATCAGGGGGACTATGTAATCCAATAAAGTATCAGAATTTATCAGGATCGAAAGCAACATAGCTCACTGGGAAATCCGTAGACCTAGTGCAGGCTTTTGGACTTTGGACAAGTAATTCTCTGTGCTCAGTTTCATTACGAATCGTAACAACATAACTTCCCTCATACAGCTGCCTTGAGGATGAAGTGAGAGTGTAAGGAAAGAATTTAACAAACTTTCAACGGGTGGTAACTATGATTACTATTCCTTAAGTTTTTCATCTAAGTAGTATTAATTCAATCTATATAATGGACTCTTAACATACAAAGTAAGTGTTTTTTGTCCATTTAATCTGCCATGTTTTCATCCCATGGAATTCTCAGCCCACATAAATCATTTAAATAGCACTTCATTAGCAATAGGAAGGCCATTGAGAGAAGCCAGGATGCTTTCAACCAAAGTTTCCATTGTCTGTCGTCTTGCCTGATGAGTTGCACTTCCAGTGTGAGGTGTCAGAGTGACGTTCTTCAACTCCAACAAAGGATGGTCTCTGAAATGCAGATTAATTGAGGAAAACTATTCAGAGTTGTTTCATTTCTTTAATGTCATGTTATGGTTTCATATCCCCTACGCTGAGATGGGGAAGGCTGTGGGAGCCTTATGGCGTACTCTTAATGACACCTAGGTATGACCACTGCTCATCTAACCCTGGTTTGGGTGACCCAGCATTTCTGGGTGGAAAATACGTATCCTAACTGCACCCAGGCCATTAGTTCACAATTGCACAACATGCATGATGGATTAAATGACACTGACCCACAGGACAAGAAAGGGCCTTGGGGAATTAGGTGTTGATCTAGGCATCTTGGGACAAGCTGAATGTGCCTTTCATGGGAATAGCATTCAGAGGGGAAAGATTTATTAACTAGAATTAGCAGATTAGAGGGAGCGCTCGTCCAGGAAGAAGGCAAAGGATGGGAGTTAGCCTGGAAAGATAATGAGGTTTTAGTGAAGTGGGTCAGGCAGACTCAAGCATAATGATGGATAATATTAGCACCCAGGATTGGGAAAGTGCTATGACCTGGCCCAGCAGGCATCCTGACTATTTTAATAGAGGCCAAAGTAGACATGTGGCAGTGGTCCCCCATCATAGATACTGAGGCTCAAGGGGCACACCCTTGAGAATCTTACAGACCCCAAACCTATGGAAGTTCTCTGGGGGCACCTGTAATTTATATCAATGCAGTTTGACTGCCCTCACCTCCAGGAATGACTGAAGTAAGACATATCCTGTGGTACAGTTAGCAGTGGTAGAAACTATTCTGAAAAACACTCATCCTCCCCTTATGAAGGAGGTGGGTCCTACTATATAACATCACACGCTGGAAAACAGTACAAGGGTGCGAACTGAGACAGGGTGACTGGCTTTGTCCCAACTGACTTGGAACCCAGAAAGAACTGAATCACGGCCAACTGTACAATACCTGCCCATAATAATATCTGGTGTATAGGCAAGAGAGAATTTTGTTGAGAAGGCCTAGCAAATACCTCTGCAATTGTTATTGATTTGTTATGTAATGAAACTGCATTGTACCACGACAATGCTGCAATATGGTATAACACTGGCATTGTTGGTAAGATTTAAGTACCTCATGTAAATAAGTCAGATGATAATACTGACATTGACGATCAATGGGAAATGACTGGCCTGAGGAAATACTGGATTTAGGTCAATACCAGCTAATTTATATACTAAATAGTGCTACACAAGTTCATCATAATGTACAAATAGTGGTAGATCAAGAGGTTGGGGGGAACAAGTAATCATATTGGTACAAAAATACAATGGGTTAGTTTCTTTAAATCTATCCCTGCCCCACATTGGCTCCTCCAAATGTTAGGCGAAGTCATACTGTATCTGTCATATAAATACTGTAATAAATGTAGATAATCCAATAAACACCATTTTGCTCTGAGACAGCTAAGGCCAAGGGCCAGTGGCTGGCCTGTGTAGTAAAGAATTAACTCAGCAGGCAGGCTTGGAGTTCTTGAACCCTGCACATTCCAAAGATAGGACTGGCCTTTGACTGGCCTCTGGAAGATAACCTGTGAGCCCTTGAGATATACTGCCTGGTAAGAGTGTCTTATACTTGGGGCCTTGAGCAAAGCCAGATAGTTTATGCTAGTGATTTAATTTGTGGTGAATACCTGTTTTTGTTCGCCTAGGGCTCTAGGCCAATCTGTATCAGTTTGACCTCTGCAGGGTCTGGAGACTACGAAGCCACTGTCAGACATGTGGGCACTCCACACCTACATGACCGACCCCCTGATACCAACACTGGGATGAGCTTCCCTGGTTGGAAATACTTAACGTGTGTCGTCACACACCATTGCTGGAGGTGGTAGCACTGTCCACACAACTCCATTGGGGGGACAACTGGAAGTGCAAGCCTGGTTCTCCTCGACTCCCCTATGAGTTTTCTCCCTTTGCTGATTTTAAACTATATCATTTCACTGTAATAAGCTGTAACTGTGAGTAGAAAAGCTTTTCTGAGTTCTGTGAGTCTTGCTAGCAAATCATTAAGGCTGAAGGTGATCTTGGGGACTCCTGGCGCTATTGGCAAATGAAGTTTTTCTTTTTAAAATAATATACAGGGGGCTTCCCTGGTGGCGCAGTGGTTGAGAGTCCACCTGCCGATGCAGGGGACGCAGGGTCGTGCCCCGGTCCGGGAGAATCCCACATGCCACGGAGCGGCTGGGCCCGTGAGCCATGGCCGCTGAGCCTGTGCTCCGCAACGGGAGAGGCCACAGCAGTGACAGGCCTGCATACCGCAAAAAAAAAAAAAACCACAGTAAATCCTTTTGTAAAGCAAAGAATACTTATGTAGTATGACTAAATAACCACAGGTTTCCGACTTTTTAAATTACTTTTTTCATGGTAAGTGGCATCAAAATGTCTCCCTGAAAAACCAAGATGAAAACTCAGACCTATCTGATAAATATACAGATTAGAAATTAACATGGGATCTGAATATAAGTTATTCATAAAATAGTTGTTAAACCTCTTGGCCACAAGAATGATTTCACATGGGACACTGGGAGTGCATCACCTATTAGAATAAACTAAGCTTTGGGATATAACCCTAGTATTTGCCTTGTGACTTGTGAGTAAAAGTTCATTTTAGCAGGCGACAGGGGTGATAACATGACTTCTCCATTTTTGAGTAAGTTGACAACTGTCTACAATGGTCATGCTTCTTCATTTATATTGAAATTATTTTCTGTTCTAAATTAGTTGCTCTCTTATTTGGTCTTTACGCTCTTAAAAATTGAGACCCCCAAAGAACATGTGTTTATGAGGGTTATGCCTATCAACATTTATTGTATTAGAAATTAAAACTGAAAAAAATTTAATACAATCATACAGAAGCACACATTTCATTAGCTGTCAGAGTGATGATGTCATCACATGTCCTTAAGTCTCTGGAAGACTCCACGGTACACTTGTGTGAGAAAACATGAGTGGAAATAAATAACGTCTTACAGTATCATGAAAATAGTTTTGACTTGGGAGCTCCTCTCTAGTTGCTAGACAGGATGCTAACTGATTCATGAATTATTAAATAAATCCAGTTAGACCTTTAAAAAGAAAAAAAAATTAGTTTTGACTTCACAGACCCCCTGAAAGGGTCTCCAGACCACATTTTGAGAAACTCTGCTCTGAATAAATTATTGTTTTTCTCAGAAATGTCTGTAAGTTCTATGACCAATCTTGATAAACTTAGGTATTAAATTTGGTCATAATGTCAAACATTCATCTGACAGTAATTTGCTTACTGGATAGAAATCAAAGCTGGAGGAATCAAAGCTAGGAATAGCTGGTTTAATGAATGACAGCATCAAGATTCCAAATAAGTGACAGACCAAGACTCCAGTCCCAACAGGCTGGATCACTGGGTCAAAACACACAAGCAAATGAAATTAAATACAAATAAATGTAAAATTCCACACATAAACTTAAAAAACAATTGAGAGAATAACAATTTCAATTTTAGCTGACTAAAAACTTAACGAGTTAAGGTGCAGTGAGGCTTTGAGGAAGGGTGCTGCCAACACAGCCTTTGTGTAATTTCTCTACAGTGGTCAGGCCACAACATGAATACTGTGTGCCATTCTCAGGAGCACATTTTCAAAGGACTGTAAAATCTAAAGTGCTGGAAGGCAAGGTGTCTGGAAATGACATCATTTCGGCTGCAACTGAAGGATAGGAAGATACTTAGCCTCAAAAAAAAAGAGACTAAGATGAAATGTAGTGGTTGTCTTAAAACACATGAAGGTTTGTAAAGAGGAGAATAATCAGAGCTCGCCTTTGATGCTGCAGAAGGCAAACCAGGGTCGGTGGGTAAAGGGAGGACTACTTGGCTTGATCTGAGAACGGCTGTCCTGTGCAGTCTCCATCCACGGCAGGGGTTCTGGGTACGTCACATCCAGTGCTGCTGCTTTAATGACCCCGGTCTGAAGGGCTTCCACCAGGGCGTCTTGATCAACTAACAGACCTGGGTGGACGAGACCCCTCCTCGGTAGGTCCCACAGACAGTGCACTCTGGTCACATTCACTACTGTTCAAACATGTCTTGATCTTGTCACAGGTTTGACAGCATGTGAACTTCATTCTGCCATTTCGTTCTCAGACACTGAGAGCCTGCTACATGCCAGGCGGCGCACTAAACCCTTTACAGATGCTGTCTCGCCACCTCCTCCACTTACCCAGCAAAAGTCAATACTCTTTTTACACGTGAGGCTTGTAGGTTACATGCTCAGCCAAAGTCACGTGCTTCTAAAGCATCTACCCAGATCCGAGGCCAGGTCTGTCTGACCCTGAGCCTGGGCCCTGCCACTTCACCACACCGCCTCCCAAAGCCACCGCAGGGTTCCAGGAAACAGCCCCCAGATAGTAGTTTTAGGTACACATTAAAAAACCAAACAGCCACAAACATCACCCATAACTGCATTTCAAATACAAGATAGCAGCAGCAGCTGAGAAGGAAACCCCTTCCTCCCAGCAGAGATCTTCAAGGAACCTCCTTCCCACTGGCGTGCTGAGCCGCCCTACAGGTCAAGACACAGCACCCAGCCTGCCTGTGCTGCTGGTGGAGAAACCTAGTCCCAAGCTCCTACCTGGGGTGTTTGTTTTTCCAGAATCTTTACTTCGTCACCGACCTCTGACATTACCAAAAGCATATAATGCACTGGTCCTTCCTGCTCATCTACAGGGTCTGAATTTTCAGAAAACCTTCAAGCATACTAGCTTGGCCCTGTGGGGTTTCACGGCAAGCCCTGTTTTCCTTGTTTTACAGATGAGACACAGGTGGCTGCTGGTGACGCCAGCTCTCACATGTCTTCTGCCCCTGATCCCAAGGGCAAGCCGCCTGCACGTTTGAGGCCAGCACCGATCCTCCCGTGTGCTGGCACCCCCAGCGTCGAGCACTCCGATGCTTTCTTCTTCACAAATGCCACACCAACGCACCAGAAAATCTGGTTATCGCGCGGGGCCTAAAGCCGCCTGTGTGGAAACACACAAAGCTCTACGAAAATGTCAGAGAACCAACCAAACAAACTAACACAAAGTTATTTTTTTAAACTGAGGCTCTGAAAATTCATCCCCATAAATTTTGCTTGATTATACGTGGAAGGTCAAACTGATTCTGCTACCTGAGGAGATGCCCGTACTTGGATCTGAAAACCCCACAGTGTACGATTCTCATTCTTTTTGTTACTAATTTGAGGTTCAAAATGATGTGAAGACAAAAATCAGACGTATTTCTACATATAAAGTAAAACCCCTTTAACTCACCACCCAGCAGTCTAAGTGGATTTTTCAGACCATTCAGGGAAAAGCTTGCCTGGGAATGCTGAGAGGATGGCCATGGCTGGGGGCGGGGCCCTCCTGCACAGCCCCCACAGCCCCCCAGCCTCCACACAGCGGTGGAGCGCGCACCGCTGCCGATGTTGAGAGAGTAGCAGTGCGCTCCATCGCACTCAGCTCGCGCTTCCCGATCAGGCCCCGGGCCTGGGGCGTCAGGCTCACAGCCAACATCACAAAGTCCGATCGCTGAAGCAGGTCATCCAGCCTCTCACAGCAAGTGGCCCCAATGGCTTCCTCCTCCTCCGATTTTCTATGAAGGGAACAAGGGAGAAAAACCACGTTCTCTAGTTAGAAATTCATCAACTCCCGGAAGGAGTTTCTGAGAGGAGCCATGGACTCAGTCTGTCCTCCCGTGGGCCAGACCCCCACCTGGGTCCAGAGGCGGCTGGACCCCGAGGCCAGGGCTCACCCATGGAAACGCCGTGGGCGTCTCTGGGTGCTCTGAGCCCCGTGTCTGTGGGGTGTCACACCAGACTGCGAGCCCCTTGAGGTCAGGAGCTTCCTCTCACTCAACTTTGAGCCCCCAGAGTCTGGTACAAGCCCGATGGTGTCAGACATGCTTTCAGTGACGTCCAGCATTGCTGCATATGAGCAAACATATCAGAATTTCCAGAGAAAAATAACAAAACGGGAGAGAGCCTGGGAGTGCCATCTGTTCAACAGAGAGCAAGGATCCAAGGGTCTGGTGCGGGCAGGATTGAGTGCTCTGTTTTGGGTCCAATCCTAACTCCTGCTCTGGGCACCCCAGACAGCTGTCAACAGAAATTCAACAGAAATTCCAAGCTCCAGGAGGTCACAGCATCCCTGGTAGCCGCTACTGCCCTACAAATATGGAATACAAAAATACATGAATTCTTTCTACACATCTTGGCCACAGAGCACCTGAAGGAAAGAGGAACGGCCAGCACACGCTGCCACTGTGAAAGCCCTGCCCACCTCACACGCCTTGTCCTGGCCTCTGCGGCGGCCCTCACCGCACTGGGAGCGGTGACAGCTACCGAAGCCTCGCCACTATCCACTGTGCAAACAGGGTGACTGAAAAGAGGGCAGTCCTGATGTGAAGTCTCCCAGCTCACCCTGCCTCTGGGAGTGGAAATCTATTCCGTGGCAACAGAAGCCACTGAAAGGCTGCGAACAGCGCCATCATCTGGCCGGTCTGCAGACGGGGCTGAAGTTCGAGAGCAGAGAGCAGCCCCTTAGAGGGTAGGGCAGGTGAGAAAGGCCGGGGCCTAGGCCGGTGGCAGGTGGCAGCGATGAAGTGAGAGTGAACAGGCAGGTCTGAGGGTTGTTCTGAGACAAAATTAACAGGACTGGGTGTTGGGCTGAATGCTGCTGGTGGAGTATGAGGAAGAGGGTTTCAGACTGAATACTGGGGGGGGAAGCATACACCTGTGTGTTATGTGTGTTCAAGTGTGGACAGCATCTCCCATGACCAGAAAGAATCACTGTACAAACTGAAACAGAGCACAGCTGTAGGTGAGCCAAAATCTCTTTTCTCTCTGGTGAAATTTTTTAAATGAAGAGAAGATTATCTGCTGCATTTCTGGGTGATCATAAAAACACAACAGTCCCTTCCTTGATCATCAGTCCTTTTTGGAGAAACAGAATAGGGGAATTGTATGAAAAGTGGAGGAATAATATATCTAAACTATATTTAAGGCAGTGATGGTGCAAGTTCTGCTCAGTCAATTTCAAGTCCATTTTCTGAATTTTACCTGCGTTTCCTACTGCGGTAGAGAATCTCCATTTCAAATGCTCTGGCCCTCTGAGCGATCTTACAGCCAATGCTCCCCACGCTGATAATTCCCAGAGTGGTCCCTGTCACTTCTTAACCCACCCAGTTTGTAGAAAAGTTCTCCGTATGTGGCGAAATGGCCAAATGATGACCTAAAATAAACACGATGCAGAGTGGGCAGTGCGGACAGCACCACACACAAAATCCCCACAACCCTCACTGGGCCGCCTGAAGGGGAGACGAGGCTACAGGAAGTCCAGGGCGGACCCTGGGCGCTCACTCATTCCTATCCGACAGCAAAATCTTTCTGCAAGGGAAGAATGACAGGAACAGGGCAGTTTCCTCATAACAAACCCCAGCCTCCTGGCAGAATGCTTTAAAAGAGCAACTTCTGGAACTTCCCTGGTGGTGCAGTGGTTAAGACTCCAGGCTCCCAATGCAGGGGGCCCGGGTTCGATCCCTTGTCAGGGAACTAGATCCCACATGCATGCCGCAACTAAGAGTTCATATGCCACAACTAAGGAGCCCATGTGCTGCAACTAAGGAGCAGGCGAGCCACAACTAAGGAGCCTGCCTGCCGTAACTAAGACCCAGTGCAACCAAATAAATAAATATTAAAAAAAAAAACCCAGCAACTTCTTTCACATTAAGGGAGGATTTCTGGTTAAAATTTGTTGGTTTTGGGGCTTCCCTGGTGGCACAGTGGTTGAGAGTCCGCCTGCCAATGCAGGGGACACGGGTTCGTGTCCCAGTCCGGGAAGATCCCGCATGCCGCGGAGCGGCTGGGCCCGTGAGCCATGGCCACTGAGCCTGCGCGTCCGGAGCCTGTGCTCCGCAACGGGAGAGGCCACAACAGTGAGAGGCCCGCATACCGCAAAAAAAAAAAAAAAAAATTTGTTGGTTTTGGTGTGTGCAAGTGTCTGTACATTTGTTACTACATGTATGTGTATGTGTGTGTGACTGTGCATATGTTTGTGTGTGCATGTGTGTGTGTGTCTGTGAGTGTGCACACGTGAACCAGCAGTTAGAAACAGAACCGGCTCGGACTTCCCTGGTGGTGCAGTGGTTAAGAATCCTCCTGCCAATGCAGGGGACAGGGGTTCAATCCCTGGTCCGGGAAGATCCCACATGCCGTGGAGCAACTAAGTCCATGCACCACGACTACTGAGCCTGCGCTCTAGAGCCCGCAAGCCACAACTACTGTGCCCGTGTGCCACAACTACTGAAGCCCACGCGCCTAGAGCCCGTGCTCCACAACAAGAGAAGCCACCGCAGTGAGAAGCCCGCGCACCGCAGTAAAGAGTAGACTCCGCTTGCCGCAGCTAGAGAAAGCCCGCGGGCAGCAACAAAGACCCAACGCAGCCAAAAATTAAAAATTAAAATTAAAATATTGGAAAAAAGAAAAAGAAACAGAACCTGCTTGGTTCTTGCCTCCTTTCCTCAAGCCCCTTCACCCCAGAGCTCCACCAGGACGACGGCCAAGTGCTGAAGTGCTGCGCTGCTCCTCGCGGGGCGTGCCCAGCCAGGTCCAGTGTGTGGGGAGCTGGGGTTCTGCCTGCTCACTTGGGGGCCTTCACCCCAGGGTAGCATGCTGAACGGCCAGTGAACTACTCCAAGGGCATTTCCGCAGTGGTGCTGAAAGTACTTCACACGTTGCGTAGTTAGTGGAATTTGGTGGAGGAGAAAACAGTGTATCAGACAGATCACGTGGACTGCATGTGCCTGGGTGCCAAGCTTGGCCCTGACTAGGCTGAAACAACCAAAAGTGGCTCCAAGTCCAGGGCAACAAAGTCCTGGACGCAGTGTGAAGAGATCAGGGCCTTATCAGGTGTGATATTAAGTATCTGTCATCTGATCTCTGGAAAACAAGCGTCTCCTGCCTGTTTACCTTCCACGACTCTCCGAGCTGTGGCCAGCAGCAAGGCCATCCCCAGGTCTGCCGTGGGGTTGGAAACGGCGTGTGGCGTGTTGGCCGCCTTCACACCAGAGCTGGCAACGAGTCCCGGGTCCAGGTGGTCCGGCCCCGCCCCTACGCCAGCGACGATCTTCAAGCAGGGCGGGGTGCGCAGCTCCTGGCTAATGGCCGGCCTTCCGCCCCAGACGTACACGGCTCGGGTCTTTGGACCCAGCTGTGTTTTATTTTCCAAAAATTCTTGCATGGTAATGAGATTAAAGCGTTTCTGCAGGTCTCCAGCATGATCTTCACATATGCCACACTGTCCTTCAAGTCCAGACACCAAAACTCCAGGTAGGTCCTGATCGCCTGTGGCCTGCAGAAAGATAGATGCAATTTCTGCTGTCAAAGAGTCTTCAAGAGAACAACCCATATGCTCTTCTACTGCTCTTTAGATTTTCTAAATTACAACAGAACTGGAATTCATTTTATTTCCTGGAAAAATTCCTGTAAAACCTGTAACACAGCAGAGCTGGACTCTGAAGGTACCCATGCTCCCATCACTGCCACTTTCCTCCCCACCCGACGGGGGTCTTTATTTCTGCCCTTTGGCTGCGGTGGCAGCCTCCGGGCCCCCTCCGACAGGCACTCCTCGTGATCAGGCCCTCGTGAGACCCCCCAGCCTGGAGTGCACTTCTCGTGAAGAGAACGCAGCAGAAGCGAAGGCGGGTCCTGCTCTCCCCTGCTCCCCCCTCTCCCGGGGGGCCAGGGCCATGCTGGGAGGCAGCCCTGTGCCAAGGCCCAAGTGAGTGAGAGGCAGGACTTAAGAGGCTGGCCAACGGCCTGGGAGCCTGGGGATGACTGCAGCCCCGGCCAGCCCCTTGACTAAAGTTTCCCGAGGGACCCTGAGCCGGAACCGCCCAGGTAAGCCACTCCTGGACTGCGACCTGAAGACATAGTGGGTAACAGAAGTTTATGATTTTCAGCCACTAAAATTTAGGGTAATTTTGTGCAACAATAACTAACAAATAAAACTGACCATCTTTTACTGTGAAAGTAAGATACTTTTTACTGTCTGTCAAACAAATTAAATAATGTTTTATGTTCTTTGTTCCTAATTAAAAAGAAGATATCTTTAACATTTTATAGCTTTCTTCCAAAAAGAAAACCAGTTGCTTTCAAGAGTCGAGGCTAGTGAATGCATTTTATCTTTGGGTCACAAACTTAGCTAAAAATGTTTACAATGTGTTCAAAGCTCAGAGCATAATGGGCTAAAAAACTTGTTTACTTTTTGGACTTTCAGTAAAAGATCAATAGAGTTTCATTCAAGATAAGATCTCAGTTATTTTGACAGAAAGGAGTCTCAACTCCTGACTGCTTTAACGTTGGTTATGGAGCAATGGCACACAGCCATCACACCATTATTGTCAGTGGTCGTACATGGAAAAGATCCAAGATCCTCCAAGTGACTCGTGGCCGCTCCACGAGTGAAGAGGGAGACAGTCCCAGCCGGGGCAGATAGACGCAGCAGAGATGGGAGCACCGGGCACATTCGAGAGCTCGCTCCATCCTTGGGCTCTGTCTCTTGCTCTATAATTCCTTTCAGGAGCACCAGCCGCTGACCATCTCCACTCACAGCCAGGAGTCCAGCAAAGGAGCACGAGACCGGAAGTGGGACCCGCCGTCAACAGCTTCCTGAGAAGGAGCGTGAGCCCTGTTCGCTGCTGATGCAGGAGCCCTGTGCGCAGAGGAGCGGGCGGGGCCGCAAGACGAGAACTTTGGCTCCGGCACAGCTCTGCGGCTGATCAAGTGTCTCCCGGGCTTCCTGCCTTCTTGGTGAAACCGGAGTGATATCAACAGGTAGTGCTTTATAGTTGCACCGTAAGATCACATTTCATTCTCCTCCCCTAATTTCTGCATAAAGAGAGCTAAGTGGACAGCCTCTGGCAGGTGTCTTTGCATGCACAGTACTGACATGACGGTTAGGTTGGGAACATTCTGACCACAAAGGAACTCACCACAAAGTAGGTGTATTTTTACACAACTGCATTTCGTCTAAGTCAAAAGATAAACCCATGTGTGAAATTTGGAAAAGTAAAAAATTTTACAGTTTTTGGTTAACAGAGTGATAGTTCAGACATGAAAATGCAGTTAGACTACGTTTTCTAACTGCTATGTGCATTCTCCTTACACTGTTTAATTTGAACTGCTAGCACAGATTAAAAATTAGTTTTCTCCTTGCGAAATGATTGCTTAATTTAAAAATAAAAGAATATGTATTAACTTTGTGGAAATTGCCTTCAACAGACCCAAGGCTCTAAATTCAGGATTTTCTTCTTTTAAAGTCCCTGTAAAATTGAGACCCAGAAAGAAAAAAGTAGAATGAACTTCCAACCTCTTCTTTCAAAGGAAAGTAAGACCGACGTTTGTATAGCACTCATGAGAGGGAAGTGTGGAGGGAGGCATGCAGACCCGTGACCAGTGACTGTGACTGCCCAGCGGGACTCTGGGCCCAGAAGAGGACAGGGCAGGAGGAGTTCTGGGGTAACACAAGCACAGAGAGAACAAATTCAAATCACAGAAGGGGCAAGGACGGGGGCAGGCAAGGGGCAGGGGAGTAAGGAAGGTATTTTTAACTTAAAAAGCAAAAATGAAAATAAAAACCAACTGCAACCAATAAAAATATGTTTTAGTTTTTGGGACAGAGAGAAAGAAACAAAGACGGGGTGAGGGCAGCAAGAGGACAAAGCAGGACCGAGTGCAAAGGAGGAGCTGGGCGTTGGGTTCAGGCTGCTCGGCCTGGCTGTGCTTCCCTCTGAAACTCGCTATCCTCCAACGTCAAGTGAGGGGAACAGACAGCCTGGCATGGTGGCCCTCGCAGTGAAAGAGAACACTCAGAGCCTGGAGAGCCTACTGCAAGCCTTCAATGAATGGAGCTACTAACGTTTAAATCTGAACGACAATTCAGGTATTTACCCAGGTGTCTAGAAACAAACTTACACCAAAGAGGGAGACTGAATTCATACAACACAGTAACATTTCTTAAAATCCTATTTCCTCATGAAGCTTCCTCTCTTAATATTTGAGAGGTGAGTCCAATACCACCCCCATCATCCTCACGTACCCAACGTGCCAAGACTTGCTTCAAACTGGCACCAACTGACTTTTAACTTGTCTCCCTGCCACTCTGTCCTCTTATCCTCTCTCCAATCCCTTTCAAAGTCTATCCTCACCTCACCTACCAAGCAGTTCTCTGCCCTGTCTATGGGTATAAAATTAAAGTTGTTTGCTTTTTGTCCTCTACAAATCCCCAGCCCAGATTCTGCTCCAAAGAGGCTCAGAAAACAGCTTGGGAAAAAAAAAAGAATTCTCCGTAATGAGGGGTAGGTGACGCCATGGTTAGCCCCTCTGCTCTTATAATCATCCTTAGCTTGATATTCTGGATTTGCTGGAGAACAATCTGTTCACTCATGACTAGGTAAGAGTACCTAAAAGTTTAAGATATACCAAAGGGCATATCCTTGAGGGTGTGTTTGCTAGTTCTAGCTTAATGAAAACTGCACTGTTTACACCCTTTATGTGAGGTTTCTCCAGTCACCAGGTATCAACAAATCCAATGTAATTTAAAACCAATACTGTCACAATGTGTCTCGGCAAAAACAGTTGCTTCCCTCCTAAGAAATGGTTTGTCAGGACCTGCTAAACATTAAGGAAAAGAAAGACAAGATTAAAAAAACCTAGGGACTTCGCTGGTGGCGCAGTGGTTAAGAATCCACCTGCCAATGCAGGGGACACGGGTTCAAGCCCAGGTCCGGGAAGATCCCATGTGCCACGGAGCAACTAAGTCCGTGCACCACAACTACTGAGCCTGCGCTCTAGAGCCTGTGAGCCACAACTGAAGCCCGTGCGCGCCTAGAGCCTGTGCTCCGCAACAAGAGAAACCACCACCGCAGTGAGAAGCCCGCGCACCGCAGTGAAGAGTGTCCCCTGCTCGCCACAACTAGAGAAAGCCCATGCAGCAATGAAGATCCAAAACAGGCAAAAATAAATATATTTAAAAAACCAAACAAACCTGGATTCATGCAGGGGAATAAACTATAAAATCTGATGTGGGTACCTGAATCTATTCATTTACAGCTTAATCTGCCACGGCCTGGAGCTTAGAAAACAGTACCTGTCCAAAATGACCTTTAGATTCTGGCAGTGTCTGAAGCCGCCTTAAGTCTTCTCTCGAACAAGGCAGGTACAAATAACAACAATGTATTTTCCTTATTAAATTCTTCAGGATCGTGCCCTGCGAGCCCAGAAGGGTCTTAGGATTCTAATGCCGCCCACCTGCCCCAGGTGAAGTTCGAGGTCAGTCACACCACGCGGCAGAGCTCAGTCCAGTCTCCCGCCCACAACGCGACATCCGGGTCTTTTAAAAAGACCCCAGATTTAAGGGACGCTCCAGCAGGCCCAGTCTCCCAGGCAAGACCCGGACAGCGAAGGCGCGAGGTCAAAGAGAGTAGTGCCCCCGCCCCAGTCCTACGGCCAGGCACGCTAGGGCCAGGCCCCAAAGCTCGTCGACCACACCTCCCAGCCGAGCCCCCAAACCGCCGACCACACACCTTCAGCCACTCCCTAAGCCCGCCTGCCGTGCCCAAGGCCACGCCCCAAGCCCCACAGCTTGGTCCTCGTCTGCTAGCCCCGCCCAATCAACTAGGCCGCGCCCACATCTCCGGCGCTCGGTTCGCGGCCGGGAACTCTGGGCGCCAGGAGTGCGCATGCGAGAAGCCACCTGGAGGGCAGGTTGCCGAGGCCCCGCGCCTGGCGGGCGGGCTTGGGGTGGAGCCTCCTTCAGGAGCGGAGTCTGGGTGGTCGAGTGTGGGGACTGTGTGGTGGGGAAGGTTGCTGGCCTGCTTCAGCGTGAGGAGTGTGGAAATTAATACACAGAAACCTCATTTAAGATGGAGCCGGGAGTCCAGAAGGGATAGCTCTGGCACCACTCCCCCTCGATTGGAGATCCAGCACGAAAAAGGGCACAACCTCGCTACAGGCGGGGAAGGAAGCCTTTCTCCGAGTCGGGAAACAGCCCAGCCAATGGGAAGCTACTACACTTCCAACTCGGGGTTCCCTCCAATGGGCTCTTTGTTTATAACAAGAAGCCACGCCCAACTCCCCCTTCTCTTCTATAAAAGGGTTTCCCCTGCGTTGTTCTTTGCCCTTGCCTGTGGTTTGCTATAGGTTGAACGTTTTAAATTGCAGTTTTTTTGCTGTTCCTGAATAAGCCCATTCTGCTGGTAATCAGCTATTTTATTGTTTTAGGTGGTCGGGTGGGGGGACCTTGCGGGGGCGCATTGTTGGGCAGGGTCTGCACGCTGGCGCCTGGCTGGCTTCTGTAAAGAGCAAGTCTCACCCTGAGATCAGGACTGCCTTCTTCCCGGGAAAGTGGGCAGGGGATGACGCAGGCCCTCCCTGCGGCAAGAGGCCTCCTCCTTTTTGGCGCTGCCTAGGCCCTGCTCTAAGTCACCCGCGAGGGTTTACTCCTGTGTCTCCACGGTTCTGGGTCAGTGTGTCACAAATTCAGTCATTTTTCATAGTCACACACCATCTGTGTTGCTATTTACTCATTTTCTCCCCTAAGTAAATTAAAAATCAACTCAAGTGTTTACTTACCTAGTCAAAAGTAATACTATCTGGGGATATCTCTGGTATTTTTAAAATTAGGCTAGATGGTACTACTGAGAGCAGGTAATGAACAGGTATAGTCCTCTTTAGGAAACACTGATAAGCGTTTCATCCAGTGTCCTGGCTTCACTTGCTGCCTTCTACTCGGATGGCTCTCAAACTTTTATCTCCAGCCCAGAACTCCTCTCTGGCAGCTTTCATTGCCCTGATGCTAGTCTCCCTACTTCCCTCTCTTCAAGTACTCCCTTTGCAATCCTTTCTCCTGTACATGGCAGCCTAGGTGCCTGAAGGACATATAAATCTGACATGTTAATCCCCAGCTTAAAGCCCCTTGTTCATATGGTAGAGTACAAAATCCTAAGCACAGAGGTCCCATTATCTGGCCTGTCCACCCAGCAAACCACTTGTGTGTGCTGATCATTTCAGCTGCACATTTACCCAAACTGCCATGCTCCTGGCACTGGACTTGTTCCCTGGCTGCCTGGACTGGACCCCAGCTCTTCCCCTAGTTCTCACTCATCTTGCAGGTCCCCATTTAAGCGTAATATCCTCAAGGAAGCCTTTCCTGAACTCCTTAAACTAAGTGTGTTCCTGCTAAATGTTCTCTTAATACCCTAAACTCTTTACCTGTAGGACTTTGCTGTGAATCCAAATTCAGTGTACGATCTTCTGTGTAACGTCAGGCCTTCTGCTAGACTACACTCCGTGAGGGCAGGCACTCAGTCTTGTTATTGTTCTATTTCTTGATAACAGCACCTGATATCCTGTCTGGCACATGTACATGCTCAATAAATATTTGTTGAAAAACTAAAGAATAAATAAAATACAAATAAGGGAGGAAAGCTTCTTAGAACTGTTTGGAAAGTCTAGACTGAAAGAGGACATAGAGTTTTACTATTCTATCTCAAGATCATAAAAAAGCTCTTGAGAAAGCATCGCCTTGCAAAAGTGAATACTACCTGTCACAAAAGATTATTTGGAGTTTTATTACCATCCAGCTACCTAGCCAGAGGGCCTCTATTGAATTTGGTCCAGCAAGAAGAATTCACAGATTGCCAGAATCCCTGCTGTGTTCAGTTGGGAGTAAATATAATGAAAAAATTAGAATTTGATAAAACTGGCCTTAACTTTTAAATTAAATACACGTTACAAATACACAATGTTATAAAATATGCATGTTATGAAAACAGCAATAAAATGAGCCCCTGGTTATATACCACCAAACTTAAGAAATATACCATTACTGCTACTTTCGAATTTCCCTGTGCCACTCCCTGCTGCTCCAGATATAACTCCTATCTTGAATTTTATGATATAGATAGATAGATAGATAGAAAATCTGCCTAAATAGTATATTGTCTGGTTTGGCATATTTTTGCATTTTATGTTAATGGAATTATACCCTATGTAGTCTTTGGTAACCTGCTTTTTTTCTAAGCTTGTCAGTATGTGAGATTCATCCCCGTTTATACATGGAGGTGTAGTCATTCATCTTTACAGCTATATAATATCAGTAAATACACCTCAGTTTATCTATTTTTCTGCAGTCAGATATTTGCATTGCTCTTAGGGTAAGTAAGGTTGAGCGCTGGCCACTTTCAAAGAGAGCACACTGCATAAATTTGAGGGTTTCTCCCAAGAGTTTAACTCTGGTCCCTTTAGCAGGCCTGGATGTAGAAATTTCTTCAGCTAAGCATACAGTCCTGGGTGACAGGGTCTTTTGCCTCCTGACCATTTCCCACCCAAAGTGAGGGGTTCTTTTAGAACTCCTTTGCTTGGCTTGAGGCAGGATGGAAGCATCCCTCTCTTTCCCAAAGAGAAGAGAATGAGAATGGGACTGTACATCACTCCACAAGTTCCTCCAGAGAAACGATGTCACAATTTTTCCCTAACACATTTTCTTACCTCCTCTGCAAAATCTGGAAAAAGCTGGTCTGCCTTCTTTATTTGGAATATGCCATTTTCAATCATTTAATCTTCAATTTGGGGCCTCTGCTGAAATTGAGAGGAAAGTCTCACTGTAACATTGTCTTACATATGACTTAAAACATTTCTTCTTTTAAAAATGCAAAGCCCTCTAGAAAAGTTATAAGCCTCTCCAGTGATTTTTTTATTAGTAACAATTAGTTCAGTCAAATTGCCGCCTTCTCAACTTAACTCAAGCCGGTTGCTCTGCAGGAATGGGCACTCTGTCTGGACATGTGTATCCTTTCCCAGTTAGGAGACACAGGGACATCTTCCACCAAACATCTGTCTTGCTCTTACTTGAGAACATGAGACTGCATTATTTAATGCTTATGTTTAGTCATTTTTTTAAATGAAGAATTCAATTTCTAAAGACAAAATGTAATTAAAGGAACTTCCCTGGTGGTCCAGCGGTAAAGAATCCGCCTTACAATGCAGGGAACACGGGTTCAATCCCTTGTCAGGGAACTAAGATACCACATGCCCAGGGGCAACTAAGCCCGTGTGCCACAACTACTGAGCTCTAGCACGCCTTAACTAGAGCCTGCCTACCGCAAACGACAGAGTCCACACTCTGGAACCCGCGCGCCACAACTACAGAGCTCATGCACCCTGGAGCCTGCGTGCCACAACTAGAGAAGAGAAAACCCGTGCACCACAACCAAGAGCCCGCGCACCTCAATGAAAGATTCCGCATGCCGCAAGGAAGATCCTGAGTGCCGCGACAAAGACCCGACGCAGCCAAAAATAAAATAAATAAATAAATAATAAATAAATCTTTTTAAAAAATGTAATTCAAGAAGTTTGATTAACTCAGAGATGATTTAGCCTATTTATTCCCATTTTCTAAATGATCAGATACTTTTTGAGGAAATGGAAGTAGAAATGCAGAGTCTTGGTCAAAGAATCGATTTTTCTTGTCTGGGCTGGTGACTTCAACTCATTCTTTGAGGCCACTATTATCAAAATCAGACAAAGATACCACAAGAAAACTACAGACCAATATCCCTTGTGAGTTACAGACACAAAATCTTCAATAAAATACTAGCAAACCAAATCCAGCGACATATTTTGAAAAGTTACTGTGACCAAATAGGATTTATCCTAGGAATGCAAGACTAGTTTAACACACAAAAATCAATGTGGTACACCATGCTAAGAGAATAAAGGACAAAACTCACATGATCATCTCAATAGACGCATTAGAAAATGCATCTGACAAAACCTAACAACCTTTCATGATTAAAAAAAAAAAAACACTCAACAAAGTAGGAATAGAAGAGAATTTCCTTAACCTCATAAAGGGCATTTGTGAAAAGCCCACAGTAAATATCATAATAGTGAAAATCTGAGTGCTTCCCCCCTAGGATCAGGAACAAGACAAAACGTCTACTCTTGCCACTTCTATTCAACATTGTGCTGGATGTTTTAGGGCAGTTAGACAAGGAAAAACTAAAAAGCATCCAGATTGGAAGGGAAGAAGTAAACTGTCCCTATTTGCAGATGATATGATCTTATATATAGAAAATCCCAAGGAATCCACTAAAAAACTATTCAAAATAATAAATGATTCAGCAAGGTTGCAGACTACAAGATCACTACACAAAACTCAATTGTATTTTGTGATATACAGAAATAGCAAATCACGATGTTGTGCACCAGGAACTAACATAGTGTTGTAGGTCAATTATACTTCAAAAAACAAACAAAAAATTCATGGAAAAACAGATAAGATTTGTGGTTACCAGTGGTGGGGGGTTGGGGGGAGGGGGAATCGTAAGAAGGTGGTCGGAAGGTACAAACTTCCAGCTATAAGATAAGTACTAGAGATGTAATGTACAACATGATTAATATAATTAATACTGCTGTATATTACGTATGAAAGTTGTTAAGAGTATACATCCTGAGTTCTCATCGCAAGGAAAAAGTATTTCTTCTTTTTCTTTTCTTTTGCAGCTATATGAGATACTGGATGCTCACTAAACTTACTGTGATCATCATTTCATGATGTACGTAAGTCAAAGCATTATGCTGTGCACCTTAAACTTATACGGTGCTATATGTCAATTACATCTCAATAAAACTGGGAGAAAAACAAAATAGATAAAAACAAAGGAAAAAAATCGATTCTATTTTGCAGTCTCCATATTACTATGTTTTTTCAGTGTAATAACATAGATTTGTAAAATCTACAAGCATGCCAACATCACTTTCCATATACATTCAAAGATCTTCACATTGACCTCTACCTAATAGATTCTTAGGAGTAACTGCATTTCTTCATTCTCTTCACAAACCAAGCTGAATGCTCAAGCGGCTCCCTATACATCCGTGCATTTTTGCTGTCACCAGTTGAATTATATGTGATCGAATTTAATCCCAAACCAGTTTATGCAAATATTGTGGATTACTGAAGTTACATAATTTAAGTGTCCCATAAAACTATGAAGTAGAGTGCAAAAGGCATAGAATGCTTATATCTATGACGACTAAGTTATATGCTTTAGAAAGGCACTAAAGACGCGTCACTAAAAATTTCCATTGAATTATGTGTGGTTGATACTTTAAAAGATTCAAAAAATAAAATAAAAATAAAAAATGATTGTTCCCTCCCTCCTCCAAAAATCTATTCTATTTCTATACACTGATTACGAATAATCTGAAAATATTTAAAATAACAATTCCATTTAAATAGCATCAAATGGAATAAAATATTTAGGAATAAAATTAATAAAAAGGGCAAGACATGAATACTGGAAACTATAAAAGTCATAAAAATTAAAGAAGGTCTAAATAAATGGAAAGACATCCCATATCCATGGATTGGATGACTTAATAGTGTTAAGATGGCAATACTCCCTAAATTGGTGTACAGATTCAACACAATTCCTATCAAAATCCCAGATGCTTTCTTTTTTTTGGCAGAAATTGACAAACTAATCCTAAAGATCATATGGAAATGCGAGGGACCCAGAATGGCCAAATCAATTTTGACAAGGAACAAAGTCGGAGGACTTACACTTCCTGATTTCAAAACTTATCACGAAGCTACGCTAATCAAGCCAGTGTGGTACTGACATAAGGCTAGACATACAGATCAATGGAATTGAATTGAGACTACAGAAATAAATCCTTATATTTAAAGTCAATTGATTTTCAACAAGGGAGCCAAGGCAATGTGATGGGGAAAGAAAACTCTTTCCAATAAATGGTGCTGGGACACCTGGATATCCACATACAAAAGAACAGAGCTGTCAATCCCTGGTGGGGGAACTAAGATCCCACAAGCTGCGTGGCACCGCCAAAACGAAACAAAACAAAAAACCAAAAGAATAGAGTTGGACACCTACCTAACACCGTGCATAAAAATTTATTCACAATGATCACAGACCTAAAAGTAAGAGTTAAAACTTTAAAACTCTAACACCGTGCATAAAAATTTATTCACAATGATCACAGACCTAAAAGTAAGAGTTAAAACTTTAAAACTCTAAGAAGAAAAGAGGAATAAATATTCATGATCTTGAGTTAGGCAATGGTTTCTCAGACACGATACCAAAAGCACAAACAACAAAGGGAAAAACAGATACCTTGGACTTAATAAAAATTTAGAAGTTTTATGCTGCAAATGATACCAATAAAAAGTGAAAAGTCAATTCATAAAATGGGAGGAGGGCTTCCCTGGTGGCGCAGTGGTTGAGAGTCCATCTGCCGATGCAGGGGACTCGGGTTCGTGCCCTGGTCCGGGAAGATCCCACATGCCGCGGAGCGGCTGGGCCCGTGAGCCATGGCCGCTGAGCCTGCGCGTCCAGAGCCTGTGCTCCGCAACGGGAGAGGCCACAACGGTGAGAGGCCCGCGTACCGCAAAAAAAAAAAAAAAAAAAAGGGAGGAAATATTTTCTTATATCTGATGAGGAATTTCTATCCAGAATATATGAAGAACTCTTCCAACTCAATAATAAAAAGACAACTAATCCATTTTTAAGTGGCCAAAGGACATGAATAGACATTTCTCCAAATTGCCAATAAGTACATTAAAAGATGCTCTATATCTCTAGCCATTAGGGAAATGCAAGTCAAAACCATAATAAGACATCACTTCACAACTACCAGGATATCATTGTAAAAAAACAAAAACAAAAACACACAAATAAGAGTAGACAAAGATGTGGAGAAATCCAACCCCACCACATTGCTGTTGGAAATGTAAAATGGTATAGCCGCTTTTAAATACAGTGTGGCAATTTCTCAAAACAGTAAACATCACATGATTCAACCACGCCACCTGCATACCCAAGAGAAATGAAGACTTAAAATCCATACAAAAACTCGTACACAAATGTTCATAGCAGCATTTTTCACAACAGCCAAAGAGTGGAAACAACCCTGATGTCAATTAACTGATGGAGAGATAAAATGCAATATATCCAAACAATAGATTAATCAGCAACAAAAAGGAACCAAGTACAGCTGACCCTTCAACCATGACCCTCTGTGAAGTCAGAAATCCACGCATAATTTTCCGGTTGGCCCTTCATATCCGCGGTTCCCCATCTGCAGATTTAACCAATTGCAGATCATGTAGTACACATATTACATGTATAAGTTCAAACCCCTGTTGCTCAAGGGTCAAGTGTGCTGATGCCTGCTACAGTGTGGGTGAACCTTGAGAGTATTAGGCTAAGTGAACAAAGTCAGTCACAAAAGACTACATACTTATGCTTCCATTTACGTGAAATGTCTAGGATAGATTAGTAGTTGACAAAAGCCAAAGGGATGGGAGGAGTATGGTACTGACTGCTAATGAGTACAGGATTTGGGGTGATGAAAATTTTCCATAATCAGACTGTAGTGTTCCACAACTCTGGGAAAAACCATCTTATTTGAAATGGGGGAATCACTTTATGGTATGTGAATAATACCTCAACAAAGCTTTTTAACAAAAGAAGTATTTGGAGTGGTGATGGCTGTACAAGGATGTCAACGATGCCACTGAACTATATGGCTAAAATGGTAAATTTTGTATTATATATATTTTACCACAATAAAATATGTTTAGAAATACTAATTTAAATAAATTATTTGGGCGCGTGTGAGTCTTACCAGGACTCTTCTGTTAATTACTTGCTTTTGACAAGTAAAGCAACTGTGTTTACGTCTGGAAAGCTTGACCGCCAAAATGATTAATTTGGGGGACTTCGTCTGGGGGTAAACGGGGACGAGCCCTTCCTCAGCGATGCCATCCTCTCCGTCCAGCCCGGGGTCCCGGCGGGCCGGTCCGTCCACCCCGGGCCCCGGTGGCACCGTAGGAGCTCAGACTCCGATGGACCAACCGGAGAGGCAGCAGGTCTGGACCAGCCCTACCCAGCCGAACCGCCTCCGAGTCTCTCACCATAAGGACCTCCCAGCCACGCCCGTCACTGCGGCGCCCAGTCGGCCCCCAGGCCCCTGCCCGGGGGCGCGCGCACGCACTCGCCGGCGCGCACGCACTGCGGGCGTGCGTACACGCCCGGAAGGAACGCTGAGCCGCAGGGCCCAGTGTGCGTGCCGGGCCGGGCGCCGGAGCGGGTGGCGAGGGAGGCGTGGGTGCACGACCGCAAGGGTCCCTTCGCCCTGGGTTCTGGGCCGCGGGGCGGAGGCGATCCGTTGGTGGGGTCGGTCGGGGTCTGGGGTCGAGGTGGAAGCGGGCCTGGCCTTCCCGGCAGCGCACCGACTGCCCCGCGGGGTGAGGCTCCGTGGGGTGGGGGCCCCGCGGGGTGAGGCTCCGTGGGGTGGGGGCCCCGTGGGTGCGCCGCGCTGGAGCTGGGAGGAGCTGGCCGGTGGTTCCCTCCCGCAGACCCGTCGGCCCCAAGATGTCGTACATGCTCCCGCACCTGCACAATGGCTGGCAAGTGGATCAGGCCATCCTCTCGGAAGAAGACCGCGTGGTCGTCATTCGGTTTGGACACGACTGGGACCCTACTTGTATGAAGATGGACGAGGTTCTGTACAGCATAGCTGAAAAGGTAACGCAGCCCCGCCTCACAACGCGTCCCGCCTTCCGTTTGGTCATTTCATCGTGTTGGATTGCTTTGCCGGTAAGATTTAAAGAACCTAGGGGTAAGACAAGAATAAAGACACAGACGTACTAGAGAATGGACTTGAGGATATGGGGAGGGGGAAGGGTAAGCTGTGACAAAGCGAGAGAGAGGCATGGACATATATACACTACCAAACGTAAAATAGATCGCTAGTGGGAAGCAGCCGCATAGCACAGGGAGATCAGCTCGGTGCTTTGTGACCACCTAGAGCGGTGGGATAGGGAGGGTGGGAGGGAGGGAGACGCAAGAGGGAAGAGATATGGGAACCTATGTATGTGTATAACTGAGTCACTTTGTTATAAAGCAGAAACTAACACACCATTGTAAAGCAATTATACTCCAATAAAAAAAAGAATAAATGTAAAAACTAAAAAAAAAAAAAAGTGCGGCATGTTCACCGATGAAAGAGAAGCAGTAGGATTCACAAACGGACAGTCTTCCCTTGGGATGTGAGGATGGGCTCCCTGAAATTGGTCAGAATAGCTTATGTTCTTTTCTGGGAGAATTTTCCATCGATTTTCAAATTTTTAAGAAGTTCATGATCTCGCCCCCCTAAAGAAGTTCATAATTCCTATTAACGTACAGGGGTTTTAACTGAGAGGGTGTTTTCAAAAATTTTCATCTGTAGTGCCCAGAGCAAAACACATTTGCAGACTGGCAGGAGCTTAGGAGCTTACTTTGAATAGCTTAGTTTAAAAGGATTGTCCTTTTTTTGGTACCACGTTTATTTGTTGCGTTTATAAAGCAGAACATTTATGTTGATAGCATAGTAAATCCCGTTCTTTTTCTTTGGGTCGTTTCTTTACCCCACCGGTGCTCTTTTAAGTGACCCGATTTATAGCTTAGAGTGACTCAGATGCAGGAAACATTGGGAGAAAGTAGAACTATACTTGTTAGAGCTAATTTTCCTAATTCTTAAATGTAGTACACTGGATTGTCTCCGGCCTTTGTTTGCTGACAGTAAAGTGCAATTGTAGGGCACTGTTGAATAACCAGGGCTTAATTCTTTTTCTATAATTGTCTCATAGGGATTCTAAGATAACTTTGATTTAGATTTTTGCAGGTGTAGCAATAGGGCAAAAGGATGCTAATAAAATATTTAACTTATTAATATTCCATGATAATTTGAGAGGTTATTCATTTTAACGAAGAGTAAAAGTAAGAAACATTGAACCCATCTTTTCTTTCACAGGAGTAGGATATGCTAATATGGGCTGAGTTAAAATAACGCCTTTGAGTAAAGACTAACAGGTGTAAGGATATATTTTGTATTTAGGAAAGGAAAAACGATCTGACCTGCCATCGGTAATTTCCACTGTCTCCTATTTGGTGGGACAGGCAGAGTTGGGGGAGGTGGCCTTGTGAACATTAGGGACCGTCCTTCTGTGTCTGTCAGCGTAAGTATCGCTTGGGATACCAAAGTGCATCTCAGAGATCCTGATTCTACAGGTCTGCCGCAAGGTCCAGAAACGGCTTTTTAAAGAAGCTCCCCAGGGAATTCTGACATGACTTTCAGAATCCCCTCAACGAGGTCAGGGTCAGAGTAGGAGTGCTGTGATTATAGCCGTTCCCCTCTTCTTCCTCTTGGGCGCCTAGACATTGCGGGAGCTTGAGGAGGTGCCTGGGGAACTCAGGAGAGCAGGGTTCTCCCCCGGGGGTCCTCCCAGTCCCGTCAGAGGTCAAGAGTGAGGTGGTGTCGGGGACTCGTGTCTGCATGGCTTAAGCTACAGTAGTCAAGGGCAGAGACTGCAGGCTTCAGTGAAGATGGGCAAAGACACTGTTCAGTAAGCGAACCACTGCTGTGTCGACTCTGAAGTAACTTAGGTGTGTGTTCTGGATTCTGCCTTGCAGGTAGCACCAGGGGATGTCCAGACCCGGTTGCCCCCAGCACGAGGCTAGGATGGCAGAGGCGTGAGGGTTGTTTGCTCTTCGTATCTGAGCAAAACTCAGCAAGATGCTCTTAGCTAGGAGGCAGATTTTGTGTCAGCGTAAGTTTTTAGGGAGTTTTACCGGAACTGTTCCTTTCTAATCCCTGTATATCAGTGAGAGAGCAAATCGCTGTAGTACTAGCAGACGTCCTCTTTTGGTACAGTTTAACTGGGCTCACTTTGAGTGCTTTTCTTTGGTCTTTTAAGTTCTTCCATTTCTTTTGTCCAAAACTTGGATTTCTATTTTAATAAACTTTCAATACTATATTACAGTATAGTTATTCAGAATGCAAGCTTGAAATGCATTACAAGACTATTAATGTTTTATTTTCTACTTAGTATAAGGGCAGAATATGAGTTTATAATTCTGGAAGCCCTTTCTGGGGAAGCACAATAGGAATTTTTGAAATTTAAGGTTTTAGTATAAAGAACAATTTAACTGTCTATCTCCCTCTGCAGAAACGGCAGATAATGGGGCATCTTCCTCGTCTTGTTGCGAGCCCTGTTTGGATACCCCAGCTGTGTTAAAGTGAGTAAGAGTCCCAGTGCTGAGGCTGGACTTGACCGCTCTGTCCCTCCTGGAACGGGACTCACCGACTCGCTGCTTGGTAGCTCCAGCCCCGCCGCGTGCTGCGCTCGTTTTGAGCTGTATGGAAAACCTAGAGATATGTTTAAAGTTGACAGATGCCTGGAGTTTGGTAGAGTGATAACCAAAATAAAGGTTCCTGTTGAGTGGGTTGATTTTATGCACAGCTTCGAAGCGAGACTACTGTGTACTTCTGAGCTGTCTTGCCATTTTGTAGGAACGCACTTCGCCACAGCTCACTGCTTCTAAATCCCATTATATGTAAGAATAAGTGGGATGTTTAATTTTGGTCTGTTTACAAAGCTCATACAGATAGAGTTTAAAGTATGCAAAACCTCAGTGATGCCATCTCGTAGCCATAAGTGCTAATTAGATTGTACATAAGGTAAATGTATTCATGGAACTACGTAGGAATGACTTCAGGGGGTCATTCTTAAGCATGAGATAAAGTAGGTTGAATCAACAGAAATTTATGCTCAAATGAGGAATGTCATAGGAACCAACAGCCAATCAGGGCAAACAGTAATTTGAGGAAATGAAGTTATCATGCAGTTTTTTGATGGCTTTGAAGTGAACTATCTAAAAATGTAAAAATTGACACTTCAAAAATACATAGTGCCAATTGACAGTCAAGAACATTTTTTCCAGAATCTTAGGTGGGTTCTTAGCTAGTGGAGGAGCTCTGTACAGAAGGGTGGAAGCGTGGCTGGCAGCACCGACGGCCTTCAGCCTTGGTGACTTGCACGAGTTACATTAACCCGGAGGCACCTGGCAGCATGCAGGACCACTGAACTGCGTAATCACTGACTTGCTGAAGAAGCAGCCTGCTTGTAAAATGTATGGCAGCAGGGTTGGAAAGGACAGTTACTAGTTTAGACAATCAAAAGGACATATACTAGAAAACAACTTGATAATAGAAGGGAAATTTGTACATCTGGTTCTTGATTTAAAAAAAAAAATACTATTCAACAGCTGCTTAACATTACTGCAAATCTAGTGGGCAAAATATTATTGTAGATACTGTAGACTCCTGCAGGTCAGTTTAAAGTACCATTTAAAAAGGTAAGACCCCTGTGGATAAATGGGCACAGAACTGGAAAAAAAGAGGAAATTCCAACGGTTAAATAAACTTCAAAGAAGCACACGTTAAAATAGTGTACTGTCATTTTTCAGGTGTATCAAAGGTCTAACTCTTAGGGCGTACGTTGAAAGCAGACCTAACACTCAGGCAGAAGTGGAGCTGGTACAGCCCCTGGGAAGCAGCTTGGCATTGGGTGAAGAGCCCTAAGGACAGCCATGCCTTAGGCTCCCTGAGACTGTTGCTGTGATTGATAGCAAAACTGGAAAGAACCGTGATGCCCAGTGAAGGGAGAGCATGCTTATGACCGTAATCTCCAGTGTGTGGCACGTAGGCCTGTCACGGTGATAGGAGGGAAATGGACTCCCGGCGTGGTCCTCACGGCAGCTCCCAAGAGGCAGGTGCCACGAAGTAGTTTGTCGGGGCTCAGAAATGGGGCGTTAGGATTTAAAGTGGAGCATCTTCTCCCCTGGATGGGATATTATTTGACCATTAAAAATGATTTCCTAAGAGCTTTATTTAGTAACGTGGGGGGACATTGGTTAATGACATTAGCTGGAGAAAAGCAGAATGTATGCAGTTTTCTCACGAGAACATGTGGGTCTGGGGAAAGGGAAACATTTACTTTTCATTTTAAAGCACTTATATACTATTGATTTTATTTGACTGTCATATACTTTTTTTTTTGGCTGGGCTGCGTGGCTGTGTGATTTTAGTTCCCCAACCAGGGATTGAACTCGGGCCCTGGTGGTGAAAGCACCAAGTCCTAACCACTGGACCGCCAGGGAATTTCCTGACTGTCATGTACTTTTAAATTATATAACTTGTTTTAAAAATACTGGGCTGGAAACAAAGCAGTGATGTTTCCATTCCATTTCTATGTTTTCAAAATGGACATTTTTTAAATGGAGAAAAGATCATAGACACCTAGCTTATTTCAGTTTTATATAAAAAAATACACAAGGGTTATAGTTAATTGCAGATTCATTAATGGATGTGAAACATTCAGGAGAAATAGTTCAGCCCTTGTAGAAAGCATCATGATAGAATCCGTGCAACCCCCTTTAGGACAAGCTCTTCCAAAGGAGAGAAGCTGGGAGGGTCACAGAATTAGAGAAAGGCCAGCTGGTGCTGTGGGCCTTCTCCTCCCAGAGCTGCAGGGGCTGGAGGACCCGTCAGGGCACCTCCTCTAAGGAAGAAGCGGGACCAGACCATCTCTTAATGCAGGTCTGTTTGAACTCAGGATTAGGTAATTAAGTCCATAATGACAATAATATATTTCCTAAATTTTGAAATACAGGTTTATTTCTAAAGTT